TTTTTATAATATTTAATTCTAGTGTATTGCCTTAACTTTGCTTTGATAAAGAGGTCATAAAAAAACACATAAAAACTGTGTTATAGTTTCCTTGTATTTATTTTTTCTACTGAAGAGTTAGGTCAGAATTTATCGTTATCACTTGAATATTGTAAATGTAGTGTTGTAATTGTTACTTTTTTCAATAATTATAGAATTAATGTAATGAGGGTTATGTAAACATTACATTGTGTGTACATTCTTTAAAGAATATGGCCATTAGTTTAATTAAAAATATTTTTTTAAAAGACTGTTTAGAATTTTGTTTTATGTTGGTGTGGTTGTGTTGTTTATGTTATTGAAAATTGTCATTGAAATTGACTTGCATTTATTAGTGCTATCTAATTACTGAACTCTTATTTTCTCTGTAATCGGCACATAAATCTATAAGAAATACATTGTTAAGAAAAGCCAACATTTGATATTTATTTATTGTGAAAACATTTTAAAGAATATGGTGTGTAATTCATCAAAATTATGCAATTATTTTAAGAATGTATGTTAATAAAACAATATTTAAAAATTGTGATTTCTGCTGGGTTGAAAACTTATTTATTCCTTCCTAAACTGTGAAAAAATTTGGTGTTATTCAAAATATTTCTGTGTTATTGAGCTGGTGTATTGGCGCTTTATTAACCATTATTACCATTAGTAAAGGATATTGAAAAATATCAATATTTTTGTCTGATAGTTTTAGTATTGATAAATTGTAAGATCCATATTAAAAGTTGACTATCAAAAAGAAATATTTTTCACTACAAAAAAAGATTCTTTACTGGTGAGCACATCCAAAATAACAGCATTTTTTAATACAGTACCTGAAAACTTATGTTCAATTAATATATTCTATCTTACGAGTAAATGATTGACATGGGCTTCAAGTTCAATGAAATATTTTTCAATGAAACTAGATCAAAAGATATTAGATATTTCCATATCGGAGGGTTTTTGTCATTGCTCCCTAGAAGCAAGAACAAAAAATGTTTTACAATTTTAATATTTTTTTATATTGTTTTCTGCCTTTGCTCTGGGTGTATTTCTTATAATTATATATTTCATAATAATTTAACAGTTTGAAAACATTTTAAGACCAAAAGACACTTCCATAAAATAGGCCATATAAATTTTTGTCATGAAAAAGCAATTCAGATTCATTTCTAATATCCTTTAAGACTCTTAAGTAATATTTTTTATTGAAATAAAATGACAAATTTTTGGACTTGATTTTATTGTGGATATTCTTTTCTGACTGTTCACGATATCATTCATAACTTATCCGAAGTTTTTCTGATCTCATTGTTACTACAGTTATTGGAAAGCTGAATTTCTCCTCTTTCAACTTATATCAATAACTTATAGATTTAAAGCCTTTGTAAGTAATAAATAAAGAAAAACTCTTCAAACCTTTTTCATTTTATATTTTCAGTTCTAATTTGTTTATGGGGAGTTTGTGCCATTTAATACAGTTTATAGGGCTCTAAATTATTGCTAAGTTTTGTGTGGATAGTGAAGTTATAATAATTTTGTGATGATCTAGGAAAAAAGTGGGGTCAAATAGTTTTTCAAGGAGAAACAAAATGGAGGTAAGTCAATCTGTCATGGGTAGGTGTAGATCTCACCTTAGTCAAAGAAAGAAGGGTAGTATAATCCCTCCTCAAAATGTACACCTCTCTGAAATCCAAGAAATAAGTTTCAAACATCCATCAATGAGTTGTCAACATTTCTTTGGCTGGTCTGGTCCTTGATAATGAAAAAGGTCTGAAGCTCAGTCACCTTCATTTACTTTTAGACACATTTTGTTTCTTTTGGGATAACATCAGAAGTGTGATCAATGTGATCTTATTTCCGGTACCATAACAAGTTGCTTGAGGTATGTATTTTATAATTTCACCCTTCCTCAGTCATTGCTGGGTATATTCACCTACCCGGACTCAATGAGTCAAGGGTTAGGCTCTGTTTAGGAAATACAAAATTTTCTAACTGTCCTGGCTGGCCCTAGTAGCACAGCTTACTGACCTATAAAATAATCAGAAAGTCCCCATTCTTTGTAAGTTTTTATATTTTCCTCTGCTACCTATCTGTTGCTCAAAATGATAAGGGTAACACTTTTCTTAGTTATAGTTGTTTCAGTTCCTCGTAGAGCATTTATTTTATATATATAATTATTATTTGCTATTTTAATTTGTGTGTTTAGTATAATAAGGGGAAGCAGGATAGCTCAGTGGTAGGGCACTAAGCTTCCAGTGCTCAAGGTACTGGGTTCGAATCCCGGCTCATTGCAGAAAAATTATGTATTCTGTTTCATTGGCCATGGGGAGAGCCTATGGCAGTGAGACCCTCCTGTGGCACATCCAGCCTCTATAAAGTGGGTAACCTTAATTAAACAATTGATTTAGGGGTAAAACCTGGTAGTTGAGCGTGGTCCTGGCCCGACCCCCTCCCTGCACAACCGTAGTTCTTGAACAGTACTTTCCCTAAATAGTAGTGAACCCCCCAAGACCTTTCATGGGTTGTTAGTGGTACAGGTTTTTTTTTTTTTAGTATAATAAAGTTTCTGTTATCTAAGTGGTCGAGCATGATCATAGCCAAATAATTAGTCAGATGATATCCTAGATTTCCTTCTTGCTTCTTTTACGCCTACTGTGTTTCATTTGGAATTTTCTTGTAGTATTCTTCTCATGGTTGGAATTTATTTAAACCAGGATAAGTTTTTCTATTAACAAATCTGTGAATGTCTTATTTTAGTTTCTTATGCTTGATAACTGGTTTATGACTTTTTAATTACTTCTAGTTTATTAGATTTGACAACTTAGCCTTCTACAATTATCCATGATTATTAGGTACTTTTCTATTTCTATATTAGAATTAAAATGTATGAATCGAAAGGTTGTAGGTCAGTTTGGTTAGCCATTCTTGTTTGAAATTTTACAGATAATAGATGAAGTACATTTTCTTTAATTTTAGAAAGCATTATCTGATGATATTTAATGGCTGGCATCTTGTGATCCAAATAATTGGATACAATTTCACAACTCTTTGAGTTGATGAGGAATAAAGAAATGCTTCTAAGGAGAAGAATAAAAGGTAAAAATCCAATCGCCTGTGTGAAACAAACTACACACATTGATGAATATAATCAAAATAAAAAACTATTATTGTAATTTTGTAATATATATATTTTTAATGGTCCTTTGTAAAAAAATTTTAATGATAAAAATAACTTTGTTTGCTAAAACACATTTATGGATACAGTGGCAATAAATAACATAGAATAGTTCAGAACAAGTATGACATAAAATACATCACTATTATAAATGATAAATTACTTTTTATTTAAATTAATTGATATCTGTTACAAACAATTTAATAATTATGTAAAATAGGTTCCATATAATATAAAATCACAATGATTGGAGTATACATTCACAAAGTTTGTGAAAAAATAAATAATGATCATTGAAAAAATAAAACCCTTATTCATAATAATTTTTGTATTCAAAGTTAATGTAAAAAATTATTACCTAGTAACTACAATGTAAAATATCACTTTTAGACAGTAAACATTTTTTAAAAAAATTTTTGGTGTAGAAACTGTAATATATAAAAGAATCATTAAATGTAAATAACAATGTACAATCAATGAAAGTTTAGTTTAAACTTACTAATTACAATGTAAACAATCGATTTTTTATATCATAAAATTTACAATATATTTTTATTTACAATAAAATATATAAATCTGAAAAATACAGTCAACATTTATAAGAAAATGAAGTAGACGGCCCACATCTCGAGAGAATGCAATAATTTTTCATTCCAAGAATGTAGTCAAGTTAAAGAAAAATTTTGTGTTTTTCCATTTTATGGAAAAGTTCACATAAAGGTAAAATAATTTCAATCAGACAAAATAAAACTTGATTGTTTTGTAATTCTTCAATTATTTTTTAATATCTATTATTTTAAAACATAAAGAAGGACTTATTTAATTACTTTAAATAAAAGAAGTCCTAGTTTTAGTAACTAATAAGATTTGATTCATCCTCTGACCTTTCTAAATAAAAAAATATTTTTTCCATCATAATTATTTTATTTCTTCTACATTCTTATTTTCTAATCTATATATAACAATGAAGAGTCCCATTAAATTGATAAGTTTTATTTAAATTATAAGATAAGTTTATTTTTAAATCCAGTAAATTTATAAAGTTTTTTCTCTAGATTTTAATTTTTAAATTCTCAAATGTTATAATTCATAATGACAGACTTTTTAAGGGACTCCAAAAAAATAAATCAATATATATATGTATATTAATTCTATGAAAGGAAAGTAGAAGTTTGTTGATGGTGCAGTCAGATATGAAATTATAAATTAATAAGAAGCAAAGTTCTTGACAGAGGTTTAAGCCTTCATCAGGGCTACAAATAATGGCTATTCAAAGCTGTCATTTGATATTCTTTTGTAAGCTGTTTTGAACAGCTAGCCATCATTTACAACCCTGGTAAAGGTAAAAAACTTGGGTTGAAACAAAAGTACATAATATAAGGCTTCTTATTTGTGCATAATTTCATCTCTGACTGGACCCCAACTAACTTCTACTATTCAATGTACAATCGACAATATCTCCATCATGTCTGGAATAAAAGACATTTAGAAGAAAAAGGCCTTTCTTGTCTCGATAAATAATTACTTTATTTAAAATTTATCTAAATTTTTGGCTCTTCAGGGATAATCTGATTTTACATATAATTTAAATTTTCATCTGAAAAAAACATTTAAAAAATCTTTCAGAGCATTTACTATTAGGTATTAGCCCATTTGTAATACCATAGTAATCTTAAAAACTATATATATATATATATATATATATATTATATATATATATATATATATATATATATATTATATATATATATATATATATATATATATATATATATATATATATATATATATTATATATGGTTTTATAAGTGGGCTAATGTCTAGTAGTAAATCCTCTGAACGATTTTTGTATTTTTTTTTCAGATGAAAATTTAAATTATATGTAAAATCCGATTATCCCTGAAGAGGCAAAAATTTGGCTAAATTTAAAATAATGCAATTATTTATCGAGACCAAAAAGGCCTTTTTCTACTGATAATTATTATAGTCTCTTTTGCAAGATCACTTTAAAGAAATTTAGTTTAATTTAGAAAAATTGATTACAACTTTGAAAGAAATATGTTGAATTATTAATTAGATAATAAATATTTATTATTCATATCATGAATCTTCTCATTTCAATTCCAATTACAAACCATCAATAAGAAACAAGGATTGGTAAAAATATAACTTGTTTTTTATTATGAAGTGAATCACTGAAGGCCGCCATTAATTCTTATTACTTATGGTACTTAAATGACTATTGTAAAATAATAGGAACACATCAAAAGCTTGTAATTATAACATTTAAAACAAATAAACAACCAATCCCAACAACCATAAAATTAAAAAATAACTTAGGATAGCAGTCTATTTATTCACTACTGCCTCTAATGTTCTTTTAAACTAGCAGTTTTTCTTATGAGAACAAGAACATCGGAAACAGCAACATTGCTGCTATCTTTTCCCAGAGGTTTGTTGCTTATTTTCTCCTTTAGACTGTTGTACATTCTTTATAATTTCTAATAAATTTTGTTTTTCTTGAAGCAAAGAATTCAAAGTTTCTTGGGCATCATTTAAACATGATCTAATTTAAAAAAATTATATATGTTAAATTAAATCAAAGTATATATAAATTTAGTGTAATATAAGGCTTTAAAAACAAACTGTAAATCATTTGTGATTTTTTTATTTTTTATTATCCTCCAATTATATTACAGGTACCCACTTATAGAAAAACTTCTGCGTTTAAAAAGCCTTAAGTCCACTGTAATTAATTGATAACAAACTGTAAGAGGTATACAGTAAAGGTGCATTTAGACATTCTACAAACTATGGGAAAAACAATTATCTAACTTAATTGACAGCAGATGGAAAAGATCAAAAACAAGAAACAAAAATACTAGCATAGTGAAATAACTATTTATATACAGTGTCCCATAAGTAGAGAGAAATATTTATAGGAGTGATAGCAGACCTCAAGAGCTTCAAAAAAATGTATACAAACATTGGTCCGATTTTTGGCAAAAGTAGGAAATTTGAATTTTGTGTTTTTTTAAGTAAGACACATCTTTTTAGTCAAATAGGTAACAATGACTAAAAAAATATTTAATTTAAATAATGAACGATTGCTCCTCAATTAACTAGACACAAAATTTAATTCAAATAAAAGTAGAGTTTATCATTGTTGAAACCATTGAAACAATGGTCTAATTTCTGTTTAAAAACAAACTGTAAATCATTTGTGATTTTATTTTTTATTATCCTCCAATTATATTACAGGTACCCACTTATAGAAAAACTTCTGCGTTTAAAAAGCCTTAAGTCCATATTAATTAAGTTGAGGTTTATTTGGGAAAATCTTGAGATTCACCTCGAGTTGTGTAAAAAAATGAAGTGATTTTATAACCTGTTACCTAAAAGTACCCATGTTTTCAGCAAAAGTGACTAAAATAAAATTATTGCAAAGCTTTCATGTTTTTTTTTTTTTTTTTTTCCATGACCTGGGATGTATAATAATAAATGTAAATACATAAGCAAACATTTTATTTATTTTTTTAAGAATTGTTTAAAATAATGATTTTTCAAATATTTCTCATGTAAAATCATTATGTAACTGTATTTTTCAACCAGATATCCATTAAAGAAATAGATCCGTATTTACAAGTGACAAATTAAATCCTCCTGATCCTAATATTCACATTTTAATGAAAATAATTAAAGAAATCAGCAGATTTCTTTATTCTAAACATAAAGTTTAGGATTAGCAACATTTATTTGGTCACTTATAAATATGGTCCAATTCCTGTAAGGAGGTCTTAGTAAAAAAACACATTTTTATCATCACTTTAGATGATGAATAATCGAAAAATCATTATTTTTAACAATTTTTTTATGAATACAAAGTGTGTTTATGTATTGATATTTATTATTATACATCCCAGGTAATCGAAAAAAAACAAAAAAATTACAGCTCTTGAGATATGCTATCACTCCTATAAATATTTATCTCTACTTATAGTATACCCTGTATTTGTTTGTTCCATAGCTTGTGAAATGTCTAAACACACCTTCAAGATAATAAAACAAGAATTGCTAAAATATTTCTGAAGGAAATATATTATTGTGAATTTTGATTAATATTTTCTAGTAACCAACATATAAAAGTGATGTAAAGTAGATAAATGAAATAAAGATAAAGCACTATTAAGATTTTCCTTCAAGATAAGTTAGAAATAGGAGCGAGTTGAAATAAAACATTTTAAGGCTTGAAAAGTGACATTCTTCTATTTTTACTTAAATAAATCATTCTGTTGAAGTGTCGTGAATTACCAAGTTTTCTTTGGCTGTTTAAGAAAATAGCTTTCAGAAAAAAAGTAAGATTTTCCTCTGTCTACATTTCAGAAATGATACTGTATAAAATTGTTAATTTAGTCACATTTTATCAAAAAGAGAAGTCTAATAAAAAAAGTATTGAAATATTACAATAAGCTCTGACTGCAATATATTGGGTTGGCAAATAAGTCCTTTAGGTTTTTCTGGGTGAAATAAAACTCAATGTACTATCGTAAAATATCCATTTTTCATCTCCTGTTACCAACCTTTTCAAAAATGGGTCGTTTTGTTGCCGTTTCCATAGTGAATTACAAACATAAATGTGTTGCCAAGTTGGCTTCAATTATAGAGTGAGTGACCCAAACATTAAACCTGCAAACATAGCCAAGCTTGAGCAAATGGTTTTCTACGCTTGAGTGCAACACATTTGGGGTCATAGCAATCTCTCACTTTATTAGGGTGGGATTTTGGTCAACAATGGCCTTAACATTGACATAAAAATAAACAGAAAAACCAAAAGGACTTATTTGCCAACCCAATATTTTGTAATGCACACATTATGTGTGAAGTGAGATTCAGCATTTATATACTGGAGATGGACAGATTTTAGTACAAATACTGAATGCTGAGAATTTAACTGAAGTGCTTGGTTTATTTCAATTTCTTTATTTGAATTCATAATTAATGTACTTTGTGTATTTCATTTTTAATTAAGTACAATAAATATATTTATTAGTTAATATTCTTGACCACTCTTCATTATTATTTTGTTTCTTCTCCACAACCTTACCTATAAATCAAATTAAAACAAATATGCTTGTAATTTATATCATTTTTATTTCTAATTGTAAATTTCGAGGATGTTTTGTCCCACTCTTCTGAATATAATATCCACCAGAAATGGGAGAGTCTCAAGGCTTATCGACTTCTCTTCAGGTATTGGTTTGATTGTCGATAGCACATTATTTTCTGGGAAGAAAACTCATAAAACCATCAGAAAATTACCAAATAGATCCATTGCTAACTTAATCGACCACATTTTGAAACGCTCACGTCAATGATCCAGCCTTATTGGACTTAAGAGTCTATAGGGAAAACTATTGTGGATTTTGACCATATTTTAAGTATTGCCGGGATCCGTTCGTGTATATCATCAAAGAGAAATGTAGATAGTATGGTTCCACAGAAATTCAATGTATCCAAGCTGAAGAATGATGAATAGAGAGCAGGCAACTAAAAGTTAAGCTGGTAGAAGAATTGATAAGTGATACTCTCTCTGGATGACCATTGGGCTCGAATAGCAGAGGTCTTAAAAAATAATGCAGAGAAAATGTCCAGACATCAACCAAGAAATACTAGATCCCCATTATTCGATGATGAATGTTTTGCCATAACCACCAATAACAGGAAAATGATCCAGTGTCATACTAGGCGATCCAAAGAGGAATATAGGAACAGATGAAAAGAAGAATTGAACATTCATCAAATATGGAAAATTTGAAAATATGGGATTCATCTTTTCTTCCAGAAACTTAATGAAGGGAGATCGTTCTTCAAATCAAGGGCCACTTCATGCAAGGATGCAGATGGAAACCTACTGACAGAAAAACAGGATCCAGAGGTGAATGCTCAGAATGGCGTCTGCCAAAATCTACAGGAGGATTGCTGTTAAACGAAGCTACTTTGGTTTGGCCAAGCATTTTAGGAACAGATAATTCTCTGACAAGATAAATATTAGCCTGTATAAGACATTGGTGAAACCTGTTCTTATCTAAGGGTTGAAAGAAAAATTCTGAGGATTTTTGGCCCAGTTCAAGAGGGAAGCTCCTAGAGAAGAAAATACAGAGCTCTTTAGGCTGTATGTAGTCAAATTTATAAAGCTCAGGAGACTTTGTTGGACAGGCTACGTGGTGAGGATGGAGGATGACTATATAACAAAAAAGATTTTGACAGATGAGCTTCATGACAGGTGGAGAGTTGGTCAGCTTAATGTAAGACTCCGTTGCTGAACAAGAACGGGTTCTTCTTGGTGGTACCCAAAACTGTAGAGCTGCTGCAATAGAACGAGCCAGCTGGCTTTTAGAGAAGACCCAGAAAGTGCCCACTATTATGATGATGATTGGGTGAGTCTTAACTAAGAATATATTTGATCAATGACTCAAAATTATTCTTAAGGTACTATTTCGTTGGTACTGTCCACAGCAGCGATTGATCACAGCTTTAGTGGAATAGAAAGGAAACTATTTTGCTGGCACTGCTCAGCAGTCTAGGTATGACGTCATATCTAGGCTGCTCCTTTTTGACCACTCCTGAAGCAGTGGAGCTGTTGGCGGTTATAGGTTATGTTATCATATCGGAGCATTGTTATATGATAGCAGTCACCTTAATACGTTTTATTCCCTATGTTTCTTTCAAGTCTGGCAAAATTATAAGAAATATTGTTTAAAACTTAAACAACGCAATAGTAAATAATTTTTTAAGTTTGAAGTAACAAGATTATTTATTTATTTATTCCACCAATAGTATTTTACAGCAAAATTCATATATACTTAAATCCAAATGACATTAAATAAATTAAATAATCCAACAAACTTTAACATCAGGTAAATACTAAAATCCACACACTGAAAAATTTATCTGTATTTTCTGATAACTATTGATAAAACAATAAAACATCACCTGCTGTGATTTCATTACAAATATATGATATTTATGACTAATCAATTATGTAATAATTACTATATAATTTTCTATCATACTAGAGAGAGAGAAATACTTCAGTTAAAGCAGTGCTGCCCTACTATATAGGGTTGTTCGATTCACAGTATACTTATCAATCCTTTTTTTTTTTGGACATAGCACTTAATTATACTTAATCACATATTTATATATACACAAATTCTTTTTCATATCACATAGCATGAACAATATCAATACTATAATATGCTAATACACTCAATTACAATTATATAATATATATATATATATATATATATATATATATGAGAAGGAGTTAGTTGAGGGTGCGGTCAAATAAATAAAAAAAAAATTAAAATATATAAATAATTTTAATTTTTGCCGACGTTTCGACCCACTTTGCAGGTCGTCTTCAGGGCGTTGGATGTGGCACTGCGGGAGGCAGTTGAAACACGCAAGGCAGTTGAAACGTCGGCAAAAATTAAAATTATTTATATATTTTAATTTTTTTTTATTTATTTGACCGCACCCTCAACTAACTCCTTCTCATATCAT